AATTTACAGTTTAAAAGCTTCTGCCAAGAACCAGACCCTGACCAGCAGGGGGTTATCAACACCTCTCATCACTGAGGTCACACAATTTCTGGAGGACAGCAATGTAAACTCTGACCAAACTAATTTCTAAAACTTTTATCAACTCCAAATGCTAATCAATGATCCTGGTTTGATACAACAAAACTGGAGAGACCAAACACAAGATTGTGTGACAGATTAGTATGAAACTACAGTGTTTACCTTCTTCTAGATATTTCAAACATGGATCCACAGCTCCATCAAGTGGCTGGAATAGGACATCCCACATCGTTGCGAAGAAAAATTATCACAGATGGAAGAACTGTGAAGAACTTTCAATGGTTTGTAAGCAATTTTACTTTAATGCTACTTAGTTAATTCCTTAAACGTAAATATCAGTAAACGCTATGGAATTTTACTGACATGTTAATCTTACCAATGTAACCATTTTCTTGTAGGAAATAGGGTGTCAATAAGTATGTAACCTGAATGCCTATTTTTCTTTGATCTACAGTTCATTTTTGTTCTCTTAGTCCTAATTATATGGTGGGTGAGTTACTTGTAACAAACAAGTGCCTAGATATTCTATAGAGTGCATGCTTATGGATTCTAACGTGTGTTGGTTTCATGTAACATGGGCTCAAACTGTCTGTTACAAAACAAACAAATGTTTTGTTTGATCCTTTGTTTTACAAGTTTCGAGGAAATGATTCAAATTGTTATAGCATGTGAAACACTGAATTTATTTAGTCATGATGAATTGGATCATTGGGCCAAAACAAAGAAAGAGGTAACTCCTGTGGTGTAGGCATTTATAGATTGTGTACCACCAATTCATAGACTGTGTACCACCAAACCTCCATAAGAGTTGGAGACAGGGAATAGTGAATCATCCTTATATGAGAAGGACCTATCAGTGCTCTGGCTCTACCCCAAGAGGGGATAGCCTACGGCCAGAACAAAACCCAAGCACACCACATTATTAGGTCGGAGGAAGCAGAAGAAGAAGAGTTACGAGAGTTGGGAAAGAGAGAACAGAGAGAACAAGTATAATAATTAATTTATAGCATCACGCAGCCTCAAAATCTGAGCATATCCAGAACCCTCATCCTGCTGAGTCTGAGAAGTCCAGCCAGTCCCAAGCACTTAGGAATTGCATCAGGACTTGCCACCATACCTACGTACACACCAGTTGTCGTGGGCAGACCAAACACTGAGAAGACAGGGAAGCTGTCCTCCAGGTGTTGCTGTGAGGTACAAGCCACCCAGTCACTGACTGAGGCTGCTTCGAACAACTGCCTGCCCCACTTCTTCGGTAAAGCTGCTTCGAATGACATGAACCAGATCCACGCCGCTTGAGCGTCTCCAGATCTGCCCCAGGTTTCAGTTAGACACCATCTGAAAAGGTTCCATCTCACTTCGACTCAAAAGTAAGGCAGTGTTCCCCCTTTTATACTCTCAGGTTTTAATGCCTGTTGGATTCAATAGGTTTTGGAGATATACATAAATCCGTACATACATTAACTCACTTTAGGCTTCCCTTACCTTCGTGGTCAAAGTTTTTAACCCGCCCCTCTCTCTTAAGGAGTGCCTTAAGCCCCAGTGGTGAATACCTTTCCAGCAGTTGATTACACTGAGATTGCATGTTTCTGAGAGTCTAACCCAAATTCACCATATCATTGTTAGTGATTTGAATCTTGTGTGATATTCATCCCAATAAATTGCCTTTTGATTGAAGCATCCTTAGTGTGAACATGTTTCTTCTCTTCCCATAGCTGCCCTGGTATTGATTAATTTGGGTTAGACTCTCATTTGGTCAAAATAATAGTTAAATAATTAAACTGCTTGTTTCCTCTACAGCGTCAATAACGTATTTCTTTTTCCTTATAGAAAACTTTAATGCCAACCTCACGGGCTGCACTGATCATGGAGACGTGGACATGGAGCCACAGATTGGGAGAGGTGCACAATCAAGGCTAGAGATGGACTTTGAAGAACTGTTGGGACGTCAAGCAAAAAAAAGAGTGAGCACCAGCACTTATGGCACTGAGGTTCAGGAGTGCTTCCATACACCACACACTCTCACAATGGAAAATCCTTTGCAGTAGTGGGCACTAGGGGTGGGGAAAAATCGATTCTTAGATGCATCGCCATGCGGACGTGGACGATTCTGAATCGATTCACAAATGTCAAAAATCGATTTTCTAAATGTTAATTGATAACGTAACGTTGACGGGACGCAAAAGGTGGAACTTTGCTGGAGAACGAGAAACTGACTTTAGTTTCATGTGTTTTTTTTTAGTGTTTGACAGTTTCTCGTTGCAGATTAAATGTCAGGAAACCAGCTGCAAATAAGTCTATTCATCTCCAAATAATGGATGTTCATTTTAAATCTTTCTTTTTGCCTTTTTGCTAGCTACTAGCTAGGTGAACTAGCAGTTATAAGCTACATTAATTCCAGCATTTAAGATCATTTATTGTTGAAACTGTGTTTGAACGATCAGCATACCTTTATTTTACTGCAAATGAGGATTATGTTATTTTTACCTAGAAATCTAACTCTGATGCAGAGCCACACCGGGCCAGTAAAAGAGCCGCAGGTTGCCGACCCCTGCGCTAGCGTATGGAAGCACTTTGGCTTCTGTGGAGCATATTACATTTCCGCCCATTTTCCGCCTGGTTGTAGTTGCTGCCAACCAGAGAACCATTGCTCAAGCAATGTCAAAGCTTTCACCCAAATCGGAAAGGACGAAGCGAACTACAAACTCTATCGCAACTTTTATTGCCAAGGATTTGCATCCGTTCTCAGTCATTGAGAACCAGGGCTTTTGCGCTACCTGGCACGCTTCGGAGCCGAGATACAGCGTCCTGTCTTGAAGATATTTTACTGACACAGGGACCCCCCCCACCTCCCACTTTCTACAACGAGACCAAAACCTAAGTTATGAAATCACTGAAGAAAACGGGTAGAATAGCTGTCTAGTCTGCTGCGTGGACACCCACTGCCACAGGATCTTATTTCAGCGTAACTGCGCATTTTATCGCAGATGAGTGGCCGCCAGCGTCTCATGTGCTCCAAACAAGAGCAGTGAATGAGAGTCTTCTGGTTGACTTATTAATAAAAGATATTGGAAGTAAATTCATTATGGATCATTACAGATACTTTGCTTTAAAAGTACCAAGTCCTCACACAGTGAGAAAACAGAAATCCTGTACAGAAAAAAAAGATGCATCGAGATGCATCGATAATCGTTTTATAATCACATCGCAGCCCTAAGAATCATAATCAAATCGAATCATGAGGTGCCTAGAGATTCCCACACATAGTACAGTGGGCACACATCAAGGATAGATTTCCTCATCTTGCCAAGCTTTCCAAAGTGTATCTGGCCATTCCAGCCACCAGTACCCAGAGTTTCCTTAGACTGGAACACTGTAACCAGACAGCGATCAACCCTACATCCTTCTCATTTTTTTTTTTTATTTGTTACAAAAACCAAGAACGCAAGGTGAACATTTTATGTGAGGACACTGAAAGTGAGTGGAATGTATTTCTGTTGACTGCACAAGGACTTGTTTTGTTTTAACAGAGCATTATGACGTTCATATCAATTTTGTTCCGTGTTTAAATATCCACTGTGGGAAGTGTGGAGTGGTCCTGTGCAGATGTATTATTTTGCATGTTCAGTTATTTTCATCTTTAAAAGTGTAATCTAAGAAAGCTGAAGCTAGAAGTTTCATTTAGAGCCCATGTTATTTGAAATATTATTTGATACTTTCTTTGCTATTGTCAATCAGCATTTAACTGCACTAATAAAAAACCTAAAAATAGCCACCTCCCGAGGTTTTTTGCTCTAGGTACAGAAATTACGACTAGCTGACTAGTTTTTTGAAAAACTAGTTGACTAGTAAAAATGACTAGTCGTGCAACCCTTAGCACTAACCCAGACAAACTCCTTGCCAGCTGTTAAAAACTTGTGGAGCGAGCCAGACTGAGTAAGGTGGGGGAACGAGAGGGATAAAAACCATTTTGTGTTGCTGTTCATTTGCACTCACTTGAAATGACCGACATTATGCATTTGTCATCTCCAGTGAACGAATGCAGCGCTATGATTGGTCAAACTCTTCTTCTTCTTTTGTTTTTTTGGAAGGCTAGATGCTGCTGTCTCTTGCTGTTAGATTTGAGTACTGCACATGCACAAGAGATCTCACAGGCATCACCAGCTTTTGCGTAGTCTGGAGTGACAAATCGTATCATAATTTATTTTGTCAAAATGCGCAAAGGCTGGCAGGTCTATATGTCTCATGAAAACAATGTCCTAATAAATCAGAAATAACAGTGCGAGTATTTGATCTTGTGCTGTGTCTGACTTCAGTTATAATTTCCCCCCCATCTTCCTGTAAAAGCCACCTCATTTAAATATTTAATTGTTCCAATTAAGAGTCACCAAGCACTAGTACATGACCATGCATTGCACCAGAATGTCAACCAGAATACTACTTTGGTGCATCGATTGCTACTTTTAGCATTATCACTTGCCAAGTTAACGTTCGTTAACGTTACATTTCCAGCCAGTACATAAAAGTTTTCCTATTTTAGACGGTACTGTAGGCACCTATCAGACAAAAGCCACAAAGCCGATAGCAGTTTAATTGGTTAATTGTGCTTTAGAGCTGGTGTCTTTTTTTTACAGGCTTTTAAATGGCCGTTTATTAAACACATAGTAAGAAGAGCTTCTCTATTGCATAAGTATATTGCCCGCTGAGCTGAAACAGGTTATTGGATGACATTGCTGCAAACTGACTGAGTGGCTGCTCAGTCTTTATATTAGAGTAAGGAGCAGCCTCTCAGTCAATATACAGCACCTTTCTGCTATATGTAATACAAATGTGTGGGTAACGTACAAATAAATAAAGAAATAAAATTTACTCATAAATATACATATTGATGTTTTACAGCATGGCCGTAGTTTTTGTCTTACCTCTTTCTCCGAGTACAAAGATCTGGCCACAATGTCCAACAGCTTTTTTGTCTCTGCCTGGAACTCATGCTTGGAAAAGGACCCTTATAATAGAAAAACAAGGGTCAAGTTTTAAAAAAAAAAAAAAAAGTTTTTTTTTCTGGAATACCACAACAGAATTGAAATGTCAAATGAGTCACATTAGAGCTCCTTTTTACAAGGCGTCCTGCTAGAAAATGCTGAAAAGCAGCAAAAGTTGCCATTAGCCAAAGAAACTCTCAGTATAAACATTCCAACAAGAAAAACTATTATCAAACAAAAGTCTTCATTTCAGTGTCACTTTACTTTTCACAGAGGTAAGCACACCAAAGATAATTATATAAACCTGGCCCTGCTGTAAAACAAAACAAAGGCTAACTAAATTTGCTGTGTGCAGCTGTGCAGAACATGGTTTCAAATAAAAGACAAAGTAACAAATATATAAAATTGTGGAACTGATCCATACCTTGAACATTCTCAGTGTCACTGATGATATTGTGGAGGGGTTCCTCAGCTGTTTCTGCATGGGTACTGTAGAAATGGCAAGTTAGACTTGCACCATGACTGCTGAGGCTCAAGAGTCTAGTACTACTCCAATACTTCTGCTGCCTTGTATTACTGACTGTAAAGGAAACAAGAGGTCAGTATGTTGCATCACACTACAAGGAGCATGTCATCAGACTGCAAGGTGAATCTCATAACTTTAACTGACACCTCCTTGATTTCTCATTCTTACATCCTTGTGTCTGTGCCCTGGAAAATCAATGGAACTGATATGGGTGGCCTATATCCTGTTTTGTTGCCATTTTGGAGATGCCCAACTCCAGCAGCACTGCTGTGTCTGATCTGCTCAAACCAGCACAACACACACTAACACACCACCACCACATCCCTGTAACTGCAGTGGTGAGAATGATCCACTCAAATAGAACCTGCTCTGTGAGGGTCCATGGGGGTCCTGACCACTGAAGAACAGGGTAAAAGGGGGCTAACAAAGTATGCAGAGAAACAGATGGACTACAGTCTGTAATTGTAGAATTACAAAGTGCACCAATATATTGAGAGTAGTGCTGATAAAACGGACAATGAGCGTAGAAACAAGGAGATGTGTGTGTGTGTGTGTGTGTCTCTGTGTGTGTATATATATATATAAATACACACACACACACACACACACACACACACACACACATATACACACACATATAGATATATACACACACATACATCATCCATCCATCATCTAAACCGCTTATCCTTCTGGGTCGCGGTGGGGTGCTGGAGCCTATCCCAGCTGTCATTGGGCGGAAGGCAGGATACACCCTGGACAGGTCACCAGTCCATCGCAGGGCAGACAGACAGACATACACATTCACACCTAGGGGCAATTTAGTGTGTCCAATCAGCCTGACTGCATGTTTTTGGACTGTGGGAGGAAACCGGAGTACCCGGAGGAAACCCACGCAGACACGGGGAGAACATGCAAACTCCACACAGAAATGACCCTGGTCACCCGGCCGGGAATTAAACCCAGGCCCTTCTTGCTGTGAGGCGACAGCGCTACCCACTGCGCCACCGTGCCGCCATCAGTTCGGGGTCTGCTTTGTCATAATTTTCACTTCATAATGCACCGAATGTTTTCAACGGGGTCTGGACTGCAGGCAGGTCAGTTTAGCACCCAGACTATTTTACTATTGTAGCGAACACTGGCTGAAACTCTACCTCCGGCAGAGTGTTTACCCAAAAGTTAAGGGCCTTTTGGCTCCATCAAGTCTGGGATTGTGGCATAAAGCTGTTGGCTTAATACCCCAACCCCAGACTCAGTCAGATTTACGGCTGAATCAAGAGGCTGCACCCCTCTCCTTTGACCTGGAGAAAAACAGGACCCTTCACTGGAATGCAGCTGCATGGCTCTACAAAATCCTGTGGACAACTTTTTATCTTAAGTAACAGAAAGTACATTTCTAAGGTGTTTGTCCCCTCCAAACTACAACCATTCGTTAGAACTCTTTTTAACTAAACTAGACATACCAAAACGGAATTTGTACGACTTTGGACGGCAAAATTCCAACTTTCTAAATTCCCTAGGGATCTCAATCATGGACCCACAGCACCCCCAAGGGGTGAAACCGCAAATTACCACATCACCACCATAAGGACTTGTGTTTATAAAAAAAACAAGAAAACTTTGTGCTTTGTCTGCTTGATTCTGCTTGATGATTTGTGCTTTGTTTACTTGATTATCGACGTTTCTATGATCTGTAAGTAATACTACTTGTGGTATTAATCTTGTTGTTGGGTAGTACCTAAATATTACCTGTATCTTTTTCTATCGTTAAGTGCTAGAAATACGTAGAGTATAACTTTGATAACAGTCAGACCCAACCATTTAATTGCTATGAGTTTAGACCATTGACCAAGATGTATCCGGAATGTGGTTTTCTTTTCTTCCTTTGTTCCTTTCCTTTTTGTTGATTTTATTTTTTTCATGCATTGGGTCATGTTCAGAGTTGATAGGCATGTAGTACCTGTGTTCTTTGACATGTATTGTGTATCAGGTAACAAGGGTTAAACTCTCTCTTAGAAACACGCCTGAATATCTAAATTGTTCATTCCTTGATTTTGAAAGTTAAACCAATTGGATGATATAGAAATGTTCTTTTTCTTTGTTTAAACTAGCTGAAACAAAGAAGGCGGTGATTTTGGGGAAGGTATTCCTCAAATTATGCACAACCAATCAGAGTGGGAAACAAACTAGTCAACCTATCAGCACTCTGGCACCACCTCCAAAGGGTAGGGCCTCCAGCCGAGCAAAACCAGAGTGCACCGCAAAATTTGGGGAGTTCCTGCGTTCGCAACAAGTTTCTAAGTTTGTGCCGGCCTAGGTCAGAAAGACAGGTCAGAAGTATTAGGACGCTAAATTATCAGATCTGAAACCTTTGTTTTGTAACTTGCCTGTTCACCTACACACCTTAAGTTTGAACCACCCTCCAAAGAAGGAAGGTGGATATTTCTTGTCGGGCCAGGGAGAATATATCCATAACTTTCGATTCTGCTAAAGAGAGGTAGTTAGTTAAATTAGTATCACCAGCCTCAGAACCCTGATTGCAACCTGAACCTCGCCAGCGGAGTGGGAGCGGTTCTGACACCACGGAGACCCAGCATCGCACCCAGAGCCACGCACTGATCTGTGAACAGATCGACCATCGAAAGGCTGCCCAAGCTCCACCGTCAGACGGCCACGAGACGCCTCCGCCCAATCACTGACGGGAAGGCGCATGCCCGCACGGAGATGCAGCATCCACGGCCAGCGAGGAGAGGAACCACAGCGTGAGCTCCAGCCTTCGATCGAGTCTGTCCTGAGACGACCCCGCCTGAAGTCAGCCCCCGACTCCCACGTAAGCTGGAACCATCAATTTGCAGTCAGGGCCCTGACCCCAATTTATTTAATAAGAGAACTTATATAGGTACATCCAGCCATATAGTTCTTCCCGTCCAGGCTTAGGTTAATTCTCTAGAGGCTCTCCCAAGCGACTCCCCAAACCACACTGCCTCATACCATTTAGCCGTGAATCACTCTTAGCTTACTCGAGCTATTTTGTCTTTCATTACTATCAATTTGTTTTGTTTTGTTTTGTTTTCTGGTTTTATTTTCTATTGTTTATTATTGAATGTAGTCCAAAAGTAGTTTGATATTTAGCCAATAAATTCCCTTTTCTGAAGCATCCTTGGTGCGAGCGTTTCTCTCTCTTGCCCTGGTCTGTAGACTTCAAATAAATCCGGGTTACCTCACACCCTCACATAAGGTTCTAGCAATAATAATATTAAAAATTGCAAAACCCATTACACTATGGAGCCATGCTGTTGTAATACGTGCAGAATGTAGTTTGACATTGTCTTGCTGAAATAAGCAAGGCCTTCCCTGAAAAAGACGTTATCTGTATGGCAGTACATGTTGCTCCAAATTCTGTATATATCGTTCAGCATTAATGGTGCCTTCATGGATGTGCAAGTGATCCATGCCATATGCACTAATGTCCCTCCATACCATCATGGACGCTTTTGAACCGTGGCTGATAACAAGCCAGAGGGTTCCTCTCCTCTTTAGCCCAGAGGATGCACTGTCCTTGATTTCCAAAAAGAATTTAAAGTTTTGATTCATCAGACCACAGCACACTTTTCCACTTTACCTCAGTCCATCTTAAATGAGTCTTTTGTGGCCCTGTCACAGCTTTTCCCATACATAGTCATTTATCTCATTTTTATTTTGCTTGTTCATCCAGTGATGGCAATAGCCTATTTCACTAGCCTACTTTTTTAAGGGTTTTCAGGCTTTCAACAGTGCACAAAATGTAAACATTGCATTTATGGTATGTATATAGCAAACAATTTTATCCAAAGTGATTTAAGGCGTTCAAATGGCCACTAGAAGGAAAAGATTACATAACAAACAGGTATATACACATATTTATTTCCCGTAGATTAATGGTTCCCAAACTGCGGTAAGTGTACCCCAGGGGTATGCACATTGATGTTAAACGTATGTCAAAATTAAATTATGTACAAGTTTTGAATTAAGTTTATTTGGGCTGATTAACACAGATTTAAGAAGCCAAAATAGGATTAAGAAGGCCCTGGTCTGGAGGGCAAGGAGGAGGATATCGCTTAATTAGAAATCACCCTAATCACCCTAGTTTCTTTAAACTAGAAAAGAGACTAGAAAGGTTTTCATCTAGAAAGGCAACTGCAAAATTCCACAGAACTTGGGATCTCATGATTGCATATTGTAGAAAGCTGAAATGTATATATAATACATATTTATGTATTTTTGTGTAATACTGTTTTTTGTTCAGCAAAATTCCATGCATTTACACAGATACTTCGAGCCCTTCGAGCTTCAAGTACAGCTCGGCTTGACCCGCCATCCTTCAACATGCGTGGAAGACAAGCATCAAGACTTTTCTCTGTCCTGGCACCGAGGTGGTGAAACGAACTTTCACTGGTTGTCTGAACAGCAGACTCTCTTGCGGTCTTCAAACGCAGACTGAAGACACATCTCATTTTACAGCACTTAAGTGAGCACACAGTTAAGTATATGGGCTCTTATTTCTAGCAATATCTGAGCTCAGGACTAGCTTTCTCTCTAACCTATTTGTGACTAGCAAAGGTACTTTCTCTAGGTAGACAACAAAGCACTTTTTGCAAGTCACTCTGGATAAAAGCGTCTGCTAAATGCTGTAAATGTAAATGTTCTACGCAAAAATGGCACCAAGTTCTCTGGGCCCTAGCTAATCTCAGATGCTCCAAAAGACAGTGGAAATACACTATACTGCCAAAAGTATTTGCTCGTCTGCCTTCACACGCATATGAACTTGAGTGACATCCCATTCTTAATCCATAGGGTTTAATATGATGTCGGCCCACCCTTTGCAGCCGTAACAGCTTCAACTCTTCTGGGAAGACTTTCCACAAGGTTTAGGTGTGTGTTTATGGGTATTTTTGACCATTTTTCCAGAAGCGCATTTGTGAGGTCAGACACTGACGTTGGACGAGAAGGCCTGGCTCGCAGTCTCCGCTCTAATTCATCCCAAATCTGTTTTATCAGGTTGAGGTCAGGACTCT